TGCTGGGAGCTGCCTGCATCAGCCCGCAGCCCCAGGAGTAACGCCCAGAGGGAGATGGACTGATGGGGATCTGCACCCCACCGCTCTGAGACAGCGTGGTTGGAGCAAGGGGTTCAAACGCCCAGCACTTTAATTCCCTTTTTGTTAAATTGGGCTAATATCGTTCATTAAAATTCGCGAGGGTAAAATCTACTCGCCCTGCTTTCAGCTGGCGGGTGAGGAGGGCGGTTCAGGGTGCGTGGGGGTAACAATACAGGCATAGAATCACAGAATGGTTTGGGTTGGAAGGGACCTTAAAGATCATCTCGTTCCACCCCCCCTGCCCTGGGCAGGGACACCTCCCACCAGCCCAGGTTGCTCCAAGCCCTGTCCAACCTGGCCTTGAACACCTCCAGGGATGGGGCAGCCACAGCTTCTCGGGGCAACCTGCCCCAGGGGCTCACCACCCTCAGAGGGAAAAATTTCTTCCTAATGTTTAATCTAAACCTGCCCTCTTCCAGTTTGAAGCCATTCCCATTTGTCCTATCACTACATGCCCTTGTAAAAAGTCCTTCCCCAGCTCTCCTGTAGCACCTTTAAGTACTGGAAGGGGCTCTAAGGTCTCCCCAGAGCCTTCTCTTCTCCAGGCTGAACAGCCCCAACTCTCTCAGCTTCTCCTCACAGCAGAGGTGCTCTAGGCTGAATATTTTTTTTTATACATCATTTTGAATTTACTTCTCAAGATGGAATCTACCTCCTCAAGGCCACAGGGCATTCACAAATGATACGGACTGTACGGAAACCCATCGGGAAACGCTCGTTGAGGGCTCAGAGGGACCGCGAACAGCCCCGTAAGGAACACGCTGATGGGTGCGAGCAAGCGCGGGGGTGTCTGGGGCAGCGGTGCAGGACCAGCTGCCTTCAAACCTGCAAAGGGACCATCAGCATCAGCAGCCACCGCAGCCTCCCTTCTGCCTGCTGCCCCACGCCTTGCCCCGGCCCCTCCGCCGATGAGGGGGGAGCACTGCGGCTACCGCAGATCCACGATGGAGATGAGGTTCTCCGGGGTGTTTGGGTATTTAACGGCTGCTGATTTAAATAGGGCTTATGCAAATGTCATTTGACACAAACTTACATAAATGCTGAATAACTATCAACTCAAAATTTGACATGTAAGTGCTATTTTTCCAGTTTTGGTGGGGTTTTTTTTCTGGCAAGAGATACAATAGGACATGATTTTCTGCCTGTGCATGCCTCCATCAGAGGTACTTTTCTAAAATGAATGAACCTTTCTGGTAAAGTGCTTTTGACCTATTTCATCACCAATTTAACATGTTGCCAAGAAATAAAATGCAGTCAAATTGCTCCTGTTTATTTGTGAAGCCGTGATACAAAATGTAGAGTTAGAAAAGCTTTTAGAACTTGAGCTGTTTAATGAATGAACCTCCAGCTGCTTCCTATACGGGCTGCTCACATGCAGGTCACGGAGAACACAGCAAAAATTTTCATTCATAAAGCCCCTATACATTTTTTTTTCCGTCAGAACTGGCAAATTCTGTTCCTACAGAGAAGAGTTTCCAGAAATGCAGCCTATGGCTGAAAGAAGTCTTCCCACAGAGCTAAGTCTGCCACGCTTAATGAATAGCCCAGCTCCCGCGAGGGCTCTTGTCTTCCCTGCGTGTCAAAAACATCTCAAAAGCCGTGTCCAGACCCAAAATGGAGCCGGGGAGAGACACCCGTGCTCTTTCAGGTAGGGAGAGGCTTTGGGGAGAAGGCGCCCAGAGCACGAGGTGCCGCAGAAACGCCCTGGGAAACAGAGGAGAAGCGCTTTGTCTCTGCTGGAAGGTATCTGGCAGGATAGTCGTGCCCTGGGAACGCCGAGCGGCTGCAGCAGGCGGCACGGACGATGACACCGGGACCAGCGCCGGTGGTTTTGTCACCGCCTGCGGCATCTGCTCTGCCTGCGTGACACCTGGTAGAGACAAGGCAGGAGGAACCTTGCCCCGTGTTACGATCCGAGACAAATTCACGAGACCTACCTCGGACTGGCTTTGCTGAGCTGTTCTTAGGTAAAAAAAAATGCTACTGAAATCTTGATCGCGCCTTTTTTTTTTCCCCTGATAAAGTTATTTCCTACAGCTTAGGCAATACCTCTTGAGGCAAGCAATGCCTGACTGGTCCATCACCTGGGGAGGTGTGTATCTTTCCAGAGGCATTTGACAATAGTTGATTTTATGATGCAAAAGTGAAGGTTATCCATGTGATTACTTTTTTTTTTCTTTTCTTTTTTTTTTTTCCCCCCAGATAAAAGCGGTTCATTATACACTGGTACCCGTTGGAAGAAGCAAACCCTATTCACCCTCTGGAGTCAACGCATGCCACTGAGACTCCGCTGACTTTAGCGCCGCTGTATAGAGAAGTTTCAGCGCTGAGGGACGCAAAGCCAACTGCTGGTACAGTGCCAGCTGCAGGAGCGACAGCAACGGCGTGCCGTAAGTGCTTCGATGTGTCCTGCTGCATCCGAATTATTTCCCTGCTTGTGCAAGACTCACAGGACGGCGGCTGCTCTCCTGTAATAAAAATGTACATATTTTGCCAGACTGGGCCAATTGTTCAATGACTTGCAGAAACAAGTCCATTTGGTAAGTGAGAAGGGAGAAGTCCTGCCCTCCCTCATGAGGAGCAGCCGGTCCCCTCCTTTCTGACTTTTGCGACCCCGGATTAAAAGTTTTGTGTTCTCCTCTGTACACAAAGTTGTGGCATTTTCACAGTGTTGGCATAGTTAAAATTTGCAGACTCTCCTGATGAAATGTTAGGTTAAATGAATGATTTGTATGTTTAGAGTTTATACGCAGGGATTAAATGTCTATACAGGGCTTTAATGTCACTGTTATTCTGGTGTAAAAAAAACAAAAAACCAACAAATCCCAGCAAAAAATCATAGCCTAATCAAGGTAGTTACACAGGTTTGGGGAAAAAAAATTAAAACTTAATGATGCAGCTTCTCAGCTAGTCAAAAGCCTCTGCGGGACCGCTCTGGCCATGCAGAATTGCTTCTTGTAACTGAGACACAGGTTTGACCCGTATGGAACGGAGCAAGCCCGGGAAGTCTCGCACGCCATGGGTGATGCCGGTACCCGTTTCACACCCCATCCCGATGCCGCGGGGTGCCTGCTGCCCGCCCCGCGGCGCCCGGGGCCGTGCCCGGCTCCCACGGGGCGAGGAGAGGTGCGTGGCAGCACCGAGCCGGAGAGCGGCTCTGGCTTTGTTTCGTTTTCTGTTCACATTTAATACCACGGGCACAGCTGAGATTCGAAACACTTATGTGACGCTGGGTGTGCGATCGGTTCGTTTACACGGACAACGTTACCAGTGAGCTCAACATCTTCACAACCTTTCCAAGGTTCCCGAATTTCTTGTTTCCCTGAGTTGCGTGACATCTGCCGTCGGATCTGCTTGTCAGCCGGCAACGAGCAAGAGAACAAAACGGATAACGAGGCGGACGCGGTCAGAGACGGAACGGGAGACGGTCCGATAGCGCTGCTGCTCGTTTGTCCCTTAATTTATGGGTTCGCATACATCAAACCCGTGCTCGCTACGGGCGCTGGAGCGGGGAGCAAGACAGGCTCAGGTGCCACAGCGAGGAGTAGCGATCAGCCCCCCCCCACCCCTGGCAAAGCACTGGGTGATAGAAAACCCACACGTATATACAGAAGAGGCCAAATTCTCTTTTTAGTGATACCTGAGCAGCACCGTCAGCTAAAGGTGGAACAGGCGGAGTATGGCCCATCGGCGGGAACAGGAGTTTGAAGGCAGTAGGAATTTTGCTAACAGACAATTCATTATGGAGAACCCGTTGTGGCCCAGCCGGTAATAAATACTAGAACAAAATAAATAGAAAGCTGCTATTGCACATGCATGCCCCGACGCTCTATTAGCCGGACCACAAAACCTGCGTGTTGGTGTGACAATAGCTGCAATATAAGACATACTTATTAGCATAAAGGACGGAAAGTTTTCCGGTTCGCTTTTCAACGGCACACTTGAGCTATAAAAAAATCAATTGAATTTAAGGTTTTTATGAATCAAGTACGAGAACACGCCTGCCTGTGTGTTTCAATGCAGATTTTTCTATTATTTTGTCAGGTCACGTTGGTTAAAAAAAAAATGTTCTGAATTTGATACTGCAGCAAACTAGTACAACGGCACGCCGGGCTTCCTGGGGGGACGTGGTACTGGTAAGCAGCTGATGTGCTTGAAACAGAAACAAGTGGTGTTTCACAGGCAGGAGACCTGTCCTCAGCAGACTTTGGGGGTACGGTGGTGCGCAGCATAGGGACAGGTAGCCACAGACTCGGTACAAATGTCGAAACAACTAAAAGCTTCCAAGTTCAAACACATCGAGTTGTTCACAGTCAAGCTGAACAGAACAAGGACAGATGATTTAGCCAGTTAAAAAAAAAAATTTAAAAAAAATCATTACTTTGGTGGGAGATAGCATTCCATATTTTTATAGCATCACTGCAGTCCTGGAGTCAGCACTGTCCTTGTCCCGCTGATATACATGTTAAAAAAAAATAATAAATAAATTCAGTACAGTCATGCTCTAAGCCACTTCTGTGAAGGTATTTTTTTTTTTCATTTCTTTTCTACTCGGACATGACATGCAGGTTGTTTATTTTTAGTGTGTTTAAAAATTATCCATTTTATTTCTCCTTTTTTTTTTTTTTTAAGAAATCTTTTTCCTCATTCCGAGAAAAATGTTAGTTTATTTAAAAATCAAGATTATGAAAAGTGTATCAAATTCCATGTTTACCACTCCAAAAAGGCGCTTTCATTTTCTCTTTTTAGGGTCTGGTTATAGGCTAACAAAATTCGTAGCAAAACTAAAGTTAACTCTGGCAAAATTCAGCTCGAATTAGCAGCTCCTGAAGTCACACAAACTCTCAAGCGAACTGGGCTCCGTTTGCCTGTTAAGGATGGTAAAGCCTGGCTCTCCTGCTAAAGTCAGGGCTAAAAAATCAGATGGGCAAAAGCAGCAGAGAAGCGATACTTGAGGGTTGGCAAATTCTGTGACCGTGTGTCTCCTTTTATAGTCTCAAAGTTTAGTTTGTTGTTTTGAAAAGCTTGAACTGCCTACATTACATCTTTCAGCAAATCCAGACGATGACAAAAGTACGGCTTTAACGTTTCGATTTGAGTTTCTCCCCCTCTTTCTCTTTCGTTATGGCTTTCTGGGAAATACTGGTAAGTGACGCTCTGGCGCGGGAAATCACGTGTCATGTGATAACGCTCGGTTCTGTCCAAACACGCGAACTTTCTTGCTTCGTGCTGGAAAGTCTTTTTTTGGGGAGGGGTTTGAGTCCAAACAGCCGGCACGCGGCCACTCGGTACTTCTTGGACATGATGTTGTAGAGGATGGGGTTGATGGCCGCGCTAAGGTAGAAGAGGACAAAGGACACCAAGTTGCAGTACTGGCTGATCACTGCTATCTCCAGGGATCCGGCTTCAAAGGATTTGGAAAATAAATATCGTCCTACGTGAAAAGGCAACCAGCAGAGTATGAAAGCAAATACCACCACAACTAAAATAAAAACAGCAGGAGAAATCATGTTAAGCGTGAGCATTAGAATATGGGCGATTAAAATTCTACTGTTTCTTCGACAAACTAATTGCAAAGTGTGAAAATGCGTCCCGCAAGTTTTCAGTTTTGTGTCCCTCAATACATTCTCTGGGAGTACAAATTAGCAATACTTAATACTCGTTGATGACATCTAAACAGGCTGTCTCTATACTGCACAACTAACCTGGTGGAGCATCCTTCTGACCTATAAAAAACTTACGTTTTCAGAAATAGAGAACTAAAGATCAAAATGGTGACAAAATAGAAGTATAACAATCTATAATTTGCCGTGTTTAAGAAAAACAAATTATATATAATGTGATAGACTCGACACTGGTTTATGATGAAGAATGTAATCACTGGGAAGCAAAATTATTTGAGGCAAAGGCCCCAGAATAAAACAAACTACCAGAATTCGGACTTGTAGAGCACATACGCCAAGGTAAGTACAGACAGTGGTGCACCCTTCCAGTATGGCCATTTTTTGGAACGTGAGTTACTCCAAGCAGAGTAAAACTAAATATATAATATATAACTGCAAATTTATAGGTATATAGTATATCTGTAATGTCACACTATCACTATGGTTGCGTTTATATGTAAATATACTATAAGCAGAGTAATAGGAATACGTGCATCTTTGAACATTGGCCCATTTGAATCTCCATCCTAGAGAAAGGGAAACTTTTTCTCTTCATTTCCTGTGTGCTATTGACCTTTATTATTTTTTATATTGCTTGGAGTGTATCTATTAATATACCGGAAAGAGAAAAACCAGAAAACCCGAGCAAGGTTTTTTGACATTCTTAAGCATTTTTTACCAGTTAACCTGTTCTCTTCTGTGAGCAATCCTGCTTGCTCGTGCCGAGTCACAGGAGATATGAAATTCAACGAGCTAAGAGGGATGATTGTCGGCACCTTTCCCCAAAAACTTTCTGAACATGCATTCCCAAGTTTAAATGGATACTCATGCAGGACTTATAGTGGACTCCAGAGCACAGAGCTGAAATTCAGAGTATCTGTTTTCCAGCTCTGCATCTTCTTGGGCCAACCACTTCCATTTTTGCCTCAGTATCTTCACCTACAAAATTCAGACGTTTCCCTAGTGTGCTCTGGAGTTTAATCCATGTAATGAATATTACCATGATGGTCATTATGAACAGAATTTTAAGCACAGTCACTATTTCCCCATGTAGGGAAGCCCCAGTCAGGCTTTTGACAGTTTGATCTTCACGCATGCAGAATCACACTGATTTCAATAGGAACGGGGTATGAGAGCTCCTTTGCAAGTCAAGCTATACATTTAGGTGTTTAATTAGGGACCAAGAAGCATAGCCTCTCTCTACAGTTTAAAAGAAGTGGCGATGCTAATCCCATTTACTTGATGTTCCATGACTTGCTAAAGTCTTAGAAAGTGCCTTCTAAATTTTAAACAGAACATTAAAAGCAATGAGAGCAGCCTGCACTGAGCATCTGCTGGTACTGAGCCCTTACTAACTTCTTTTCTTTCCATCTCTCCATCAGACATCAGACCATTATCGTTTAGAGAATATTGGCTCCCTGTCAGAGGACAGGCTTGCCACTGTCTTGCTGTTCTCAGACCTTGTAAAAGACAAAAAAAAAAAAAAAAAAAGGTGTCTGAAATATTGTAATGCTTGTGGCTATACTTCAGGGCAGAAATAAACAGTTATTACTTCAAAATTCTTGATGGTTAAGTATACAGAAATATAAGCATGGTAGTAATATAAGCTAGCAATTTACTTATTGTGAGTAAAGATTCATAATCCCGAAACTCTAGAAGTGTAAATGGTGCATTACTTCCAAGGTCACGCTTACCGGATTGAAATAATTCTATTGATGATAAACTGTAGCTGAAAGGGCACAAAGAATGCCGTGGGTTTATTATTCTTCCTCCTGCTGCATAGTAATACAGCAGGGCAGGAACAAAAAATCAGTTAGGCTCCCATTTAGTCATTAAGGTACTTAGGACACACTGCCACCTCGGCGTCTCGCTCATTAGCCCATCACTTCAACCGAGCTGAAATGAGCACAGCAGAGCTGCTGCCCGCGAAACCTCCTCCGTGCAAAGCATCTCATCCCCACTGAAAGCCACGGGATGACTTGCACTGCAGAGGACTTTTCCCTTCAATAAAAGTATGACGACGACGCAGCAGCAGCAGCAGGATTCTGCAGTTTTCAGCCACTAAACTGCAGAACAACTCTTTGGTTTCGTGCATCAAACTCCCACCACATGCACTGACTGAGTGTGTAAAAATTTGTGTTTCCATGCCCCACCAGTAACTGTTGTTTAAACCATTCAGCGGTGTAAATATACAAAGTTAGGAATGACAGCCTCTGTCTGCTCAATCCTGTTTTCTTAAAGGCAGTGAGAATTTACAGGATCACAGACCTCAACAGAGACACGATGGTCCCTGTTCAGCACATGCCGGTGTTTTGCTAATATAAAAAAACAGATTCATTTTCCTAAGCTTGCACAGCCATCCTAGTAAATAACCCCAATTGGCTAAAACCTGGATGTGCTTTTCATCTAAAACTAAGTGCACATCATACCCTGCTTGCTCAGCCTGCAGCTCAACTTTGTGGTTTGAGAAGGGTTTCGTTTTGTTTAAAAATCAAATAAACTATCCTTCTGTAAATAACATCGGTATCCACAACCAAAGAGCAAAAATGCTCAAAAAATCTCCAGGGCAGTGGCTAATTGTAACTGTAGTATTTGTCCTTGTCAGTGATTGTTATTAACATTTGCTTGACTGTTTGAGGGTCCTCAGCTCAAACCAGTTAGAAATAAATCTAAGGAAGGAGGAAAGTTATTCTACAAATACCTTGAGGTGTAGCCCTTTGTATGAAGCACGTTCAATAAATGCTTTCCTTCGGAAGCAACTCGAGTGATCTACCAGTGCTCTCTCAGGCTTTCTCTCACACACACACACAAAAGCACACCCATCCTTTGGAAAAACCGAGCAAGAGTCGTACCTAACATTTTCACAGTTTGCTTGTTGTTCTTATCCCTGATGACAGCGTTCGGACCGATGTTCTTTCTCTTCCTCCTCCAGAGCTTCCTCCCGATGAGGCTGTACAGCACGGTCAAGCAAAACACGGGCAGGAAAAAGAAGATGCTGGAGGTCCAGACCATGATGGTGAGGAGCCCCGAGCGGATGGCGTACTCCGTGGCTCGGCACTCGTTGGTGCTCAGGGGGTTGGTGCCATTCTCGTGCTCGACCCCCACCAAGACGAAGATGGGTCCGGCGCTAATGAAGGAGACGGCCCAGAGGAAGAGGATGACCAGCTTGACCTTCCCCTTGGTGATGATGACTTTAGCTCGGAGGGGGAAGCAGATGGCGACGTACCGCTCCACGCTGAGGGCGGTGATGTTGAGGATGGTGGAGTAGGTGCAGCTCTCGCTGACGAACTGGAAGAGCTTGCAGAGGAGGTCCCCGAAGTTCCAGGGCCGGTACTGCCAGAGGCGGAAGAGGTCCAGGGGCATGCAGAGGAAGATGAGCAGGTCGGAGAAGGCCATGCTGGACAAGTAGAAGTTGGTGGTGGTCCTCATGTCCCGGAACCGCGACACCACCAGCATGGTCATGAGGTTGCCGATGATCCCGATGACGAAGAGGAGGACGCAGGCGACGGTGATGCCGGTGAGGACGGGAGCGGGGAAAAGGTGCAGGGGGGGTTCGGCGCCCGTCCGGTTCTCCGCGCCGCGGCCGCCCGCGCTCCCCTCC